CGTGCCATGCGGCGTGCCGTGCGCGCTTCATGCCATGCCCTTTCCGCATGATCATGATACCGGAGAAAAACCCCAATCAGTGCTATAGGGCTAGGGGACTATAGGGCTAGCTATAGGGCTATAGAGCTATAGGGCTATATAGAGCTGTAGGGCTTTAGGCCTATTGGGCTATAGGGCATCAGGCTATAGGGCACCCCTAGGCACACCCCGGCACGCACGCGCACCCGGGCACCTGGGCACCCGGGCACCCGGGCATCCCCGGGCACGCCCTGGGCACCCGGGCATCCCCGGGCACCCGGGCGCCCGGGCGCGCAGCGAAAATCGGCGGCAAACCCAACCTAACGATCGGAATCCGCTAGGACCCCACACAGAGGCAAGCTCTGATTGGGGAATATACGCTGTCTTCGCTGCGCCAACATTTAGCCTGCTTCCACGCTTCGCAACGGCGTCCGTCACAACTCCCAATTCTAACGACAAAGCTGGATATATGCGCAATGCAGGTAGTATGAAAAATTATCGTACCGTCATCTGCATACGACACATCCACAGGGCTGGTAACAGTGTCGGGCTGCTGTTGTCTGTCGAATAAAGATGTGGCTCTGCGACCGTTGGTCGTTAAAAATTCCACGGGGAGGCCGTCGCCCGTAAGTCGCTCACGGATCTCGGTCATGCATTCGGCCATTTGCAACTCGAAGAAAACGTCTGCGAGGGGCTGGCCTGGAAAAGGCCGCTGGGGCAAGGAAACCTGGTCGGAACCTTCGCACGCAAACCGCGGCGCCTGATAGCATTGCTCCACCTGCGCCAATGCATGGGGGTCGGCCTGGCTGCCGTGCTGTCGTATCCGTCGCGTGTATTCACGTAGCCTACGCTCCAGTTCCGTCATCGCACTGGGTGGGGGTCCCGAGGCCCGAACCAAAGCTGCGATGGTCCCATCATCCATGTCGGTACCTCGATGGGCTCGAATAGCGAGCTCGCGGATGGCTCTGTAAAAAGCTTGTGCAACGTCCAAAGATAACGCACCAAAGGATAAACGTCGGGCCTAGGCAATTGACTGAGCAACTCTTACCAACAGGGACGCGCGCGCAGTACCCCGTCCTGGCAGCCCCCCAAACTGTGTTTCTCCAGCATCAACGTAAAGCTGTGGCAGGAGGGCTCTTCTGAGGCATCTTCTCGAGGTTTTGCCAATTTGGGGCGATGCCAATGTTGACCGTGAAATGGCGCACTTGGTTGGATCGGGCTGACCAGACTTGATCAAAGCTCAATAAAAACCTCCTTTCCACTGCGCCGGCTCCAATAAGGACAAGGAAAACTTGAGCTGAAGTGGATTGTAATATTCGGTAATCGTGGTAGGGTTCGCATTTAGTAACGCACCTGGTATTCCGTCGCATCCCGGTGCCGAATCACGCGCTTGACGGCGCGACGCCTGGAACTGAGCCAACGTCGTGATAGTAGCTGAGTTAACTGGGCCAACTCCGACTCCACCGCAGGGCTCGCGGTGGAAATAGGATTGGAAATGTGGTGCGTCTTGTAGTGGCAGGGTAGCAGCTAGCTCTAAGCTGGCGAATTGCCGCTGCCAACGTCAAGCGACCGCGGGGGCGTTCGCGATGGCCCGGCCATCAGCATCGCGAAGGGCTGGTAGCGATCTCTCCATGCGGCGGCGCATGGAGCCAGCTCCAATCTTTCTGAGGGTTTTGTATGCCTCAGCGAACTGTCTCCTATACCACGCGGATTGCACCTCCGTCGCAATGCGTGCGCAGTGCCACGCTGCGTCCTGACCCGTAGATTGTTGTATGACGCGCGGTGCCGATCGTAAGAAGATGGCCACGAACGCCCAACAGAAACCTTGCCAGGCGCGTGGCATATCTAACGCGAAATGTATATGAATGGCGTGGCTCTGGGGCATGTGTTGGAGCTCCTCAGGGCTGAGCAATTCACCAACTAATCGTAACTTTTTCGACGAGGTCGAGCGAAAATCCAGTGTGGTGTAGTGGCCTTCTGGGGTCTGTTGGGGCGTCGTAAATAGCGCGGCGGCTTGCGTGGCGCGCGCTGGCGTAGGCAACGCTCCGGCAGGCACGCGCGACCGCCAGCTGGGGCGGCCCGCCCCTGCATGTGCGACGCCCACGAAACGTGCGATAGCAGAACCAGTCCCCGCGAGGCAGTTCCGACGCCCATGCAATGAAAACGCATGTAAGTAGTAGTTCGGACAGCCGTAGGTGCATCTGACGGAGAGCACGTCTGCCGACAGTCCTGTTGCCCATAAAGGCGAGAGAACCTTTGGACATCCAAACGTGCCGCCCTTGTCGCCCGGTCTCCGATTCAGCGACAGGGGGCGCCTCTGACGCTGCATGGAGAAGGTGCCGATTGAGGAACTGTGCATGTTCATCTGGGCGGGTGCTGTAGCTGGACTGTGGGGCCGCTTTGAGGGCATCAGCAAACAGGCCCTGGTAGACAGGGTCCGTTAGCTTGAGCGGGTCCATTTGTAATCTGGGCCAGCGCGCAGCTTCGGGGGTGTTGGCGGGCGGCTGCGGTGATGCGGATATCCGCTGCAACAAAGTGGTCGTCCTGTCTCAACGACAGGTCCGGATTGATATCGGCGCCGCACTGTATCACGGCTGTCACACAGTCGAGCGGGGCGGTGATATAGCCCACACGGTGGCGCGGTACACCCCGAGAAACTCCAGGTGGCATCCAGGCCCCGCGAACACCAAGGTAGGGTTCCATGAATGCACCAGGGGTCGCTTGATTCGTTCTCCTGAGAAACTCGCGGAATCTTTGGCCAGCCGGATTCTCCATTTTCCCTCTCAGGTGCCACACCACCAATGTGCACTGACTGTTGGGATCCGACTGTAGCGTTGGCATCGAGCAAGCAATAGAGAGGGGCAGGCTGCGCACGGCGTGCAATGCGTCGCTCAATTCCATCCCGCCATGCTGATGTGTTCGCCTCATCTCGCAGCGAGCGCGGTGCGTGACCCACAAGTACGTCGATGCACGTGCTAGGTGCTCGTATGGCAACCAAGAGATGGCAAGAAGAGAACGACAAAACATTGATGCGTCTGCGCGAAAGTGCACGTGTTCCAACATGCGGTAGTTCAACATTTACCCGCGACGCCACACCTCCAGCACCTTTCGTCTCTGCAGCCGCTGTGACAACAGTGCACTGTCCAGCTGGTGTCCACGTGTTGTGTCGCATGCGTGTTTCCAAGGTTCCACCTGCGCGTTTGCCGCGCGCTGCAATTTGATGCGGCAGTGCAAGCGCCCGCCCAGGCAGATCGAACCCAGCTGCATCCTGATATCGACAACACCACCTGGACCCCAATCCCCCGGCACGCTTCCTGCGGGGGCGCAGGGTGAGGGCGCTAGCTACAGCGAGCCGCATCCGAGGCACAGTATGGGGAGAACCACAGGTTACGCCCGCGTTCTTCGAGCTGTCGCCCTGCTTCGGCGGCGAGACAGCTGACCGCATATCGAAGCGCGACGGCGCAAGACAAGGGGGCTCATGCATGCCAGTTTGGGGGTATATCCCTGGGCCGTCGTCGCCGCTTCTGGCTGACATCCACAACCGTGGCCCAACAGAGGCACACTCGTGCAGTGCTGGCCACGGTTGAATGGCCGGCCCAACCGACTGTGCGATCCCCAGCGAGGCCAGTCTGGCGATGGCATCTGCAAGCTCATTGAGCGGGTGGGCACTGTGTCCTGATATGTGTCTCCAATCTAGCCGAGCATACTGACTTAGGAGCTTCACTATGCCATCGAATAATCCACGAAGAATGCCACATGAACCGAACGGGGACCCTCCAGCGGCCGCTGCAACAACAAGGGAATTGTCGGTAAAGACCTCAATCGGTTCGGCACGAAATTGCTCGGGGGTTTGCAGTAACCACGAGACATCCCAAAAGGCAGCTTGAAATTCTGCGGCGCCTAGAGTTGGATGGTTCCAAATATGTCCCACAGAGGTACCCATCACACCGATGTTTTCCACCTGCAGTAAATCCACAAGTGCACAGCGCCCAACGCGGTGGTCCTCCCAAGATCGCCTGCGTAGAGCCTCCAGAGCCATCAGTGTAAATCACGTAACGCGCGATTTCTGATTCGGCTGGGATAGGGAAAGCGCCGACTGTTTCAAACAACTTTCTTGCGCTGCTATGAAGGCACGGATGAAACAAGGAAAACTCGGGGCCTCTATTGGGCCTAAGAAAAAGGGGAGTGAGAGAACTGGCTGAGGGCCAAGCGGCGGCTAGCCTGCGCACGAGCTCGCGACAGTCTGGGATTGGCCCCAGTGGGCGAGCAGGAAAATGATCGAACTCCATCCGACGACCAGCGGGGCTGTGATTCGTGGCTGGCTCGCGATGTTCGACGCCAGCTGCCTCGGGCGGCCCGGGCCGCATATCGTCTGACGCCTGCAGCTCCTCGACGGGCGGCCCGCGAATCAACATCGCCCCAACTCCGACGTAGCTGCTGAACCGATAACGTCGACATCTCTGTTTCTCTGTCTGCGTGGGCTCCGATCCCTGCTGTGTCGTGGCCTCCGCGGGACTTCGACGTGTGCCGTCCGGCTGGCACTGGTGCGCCCTCACCTGGTACGGACCCACGTCCACGACGAGATGCGTCAAGCGATGCTCGCAGCGTCGGCTGTCCTGGCGGCCGACGCGACTTCTCCAACTCCTTTTTTGGCCTTCCTCGCAGCTGCTGCCTGCCTGCGGAGGATCTCGACTCTCTCGTCAGCTGATACCTGTCCGTCTTCATGACCTGGCTGCATGTTTGGTGCTGCTGCTTCGGCGTCATCATGTGCCGAGTCCACTTCCGTCGCTGCTGGCGATGCTGTGGCCCTGGCCTCCGCTGCGGGGGAGGTGGGGCCTGCTGGCGGCGGCGGCGCGGCTCCTCACGTGGCAGCACGCGGCGGCGGAGCCTGCTGATGGCCCGCGGCGGCGGCGGCTGCGGGGGGAGGGGCTGGCGCCGCGGCTGCGACCTGCGGGCCCAGGGGCCCAGACGCTGGGCCTGGCCTCCGAAAGGCTGAACGCCTGCAGCACCTCCACCAGGCTGAACACCCGCTGCGCCTCCACCGTGTCGTCCAGCAACGATGTTCGACTGCAGCGTCGTGAGCAACGTTGTCAGTGCTGCAAGTTGTTCACGAAGCTGGACCTGGCCCGTTTGCAACTCGGCGATGGCGATGAACGTAAGGAACATTAGCATGATGCAGCAGCGTGATCCCATGATCTCCGTGGTCACGTCCCAGAAGCAGGCCAACGACGCCATGCTCAAAACACCGACGGCCAATATGCCATACACCGCGACGGATAAGATCTCAAAGCTCGTGCGGGAGAGGCGGTAGATGAGCGGCCCGATGTTCGCATATTGGATTGCAAGGCCGCACGTCGACGCAATGGTCCATCCCTCGGGGAGATGGCTGATGATGGAAAACAATCAGGAAAACATGCTGTTTATCGTAACCCACGATGCCACACCAAAACCGACCGTGAGAATGTAATTGAGCTGGGAGTCCGCCTGGTCTACCACACCCACAGCATGTGGATCACAATCGAGCGAGACGCAGCGTAATGCGCCGTAAACCACGTAAGCTGAGATGGCGACGAGTAGCATGACCACGGTGATAGCCATGCTCAAACTGCGTGGGGTGGTCACTGCTGCAGTGGCAGCAATGATAATGTGTGTTGACTCCGCTTGCGCTTCACTTTGTAGTGCCACCGCGTGTTCGAATCCAACATCGTCGCAATCTGCCCACACGCAAGTACGAACGACTCCTGAAACTGAACTGGTGCTCGAAGTGAACTTCTCAGCATTGGGTGCAAGGCAAAGATGTCCTTCGTGAACTAACGTCGTCCAAATCCTCTCACGAGGCAGTCTTTAGGAGCCGTGCCCTGTGACCTTAGTGATCCATTTCTAGGAATTATCCTAAGTTGGCGGTACCTGCGAATGTCCCCCACTACACGGTGGGTGTCAGGAAGGCTAAGGCACGCATCTTCCACATCTTGCTGTTTGTTCCTGCGTAGGCGAAACCCCTAATGTCTGACCGACTTGCAATGTTGCTGTGCAACCAACCGCCAGTATGCGGCTGCTTGTTGAGTCAGCAGCAGGCGCACGCACACGCACACGCACACGCACACACACACACATTCACACATTTTTTGGCGGTGGCGACCTCGCGCTCGGCGACGAGGCGGAGACAGCGTAAACAGCGCGCGCGCGGCAGCCACACATAGACATACAGACACACTGACACACAAACACACACTCACTTACACTTTTCGGTCGTCGCGGGCGGAACGCACTTCTCGCCGTCAAACGCCCGCGCGGTGAGCCGCGCGGGCGCGCCCCGTATGCAGAAGCGAGGAAAGAGAGAAAGAGAGAGAGAGAGAGAGAGAGAGAGAAAGAGAGAGAACGCCGGCTGGAGCGGCGGGATAGCAAGGCCCAGCGGCCAAGTCGGCACGACGACAGAGTGACGCACGCACGCACGCACGCACACACAAACACGCACACACACACAACTTCCCCTCACTGAAGCAACGCCTCCCCGCCCAGGCCTTACCCTTCCAGAGCCCGCCCGACCACTCAAGGTCGGGTGCCAGACGCGGGCAGCCAGGGAGAAGGGCGTGAGAGCACCATGGCCCAAAGCATGTGTGCGTACGGGGGGGGGGGCCGTGGCTAAAAGGATGCCAGCTGAGAAATTTCACGGCTGGCACTCACCCGACCCGCTCCGTGCCCCCGGCATAAGGGGCACCATTCGGACCACGGAGGGGGGGCGGCTGGGCCCGCCGAGAGAAAGAGAGGGCCGGACAGGTGGAGCGGGCGGGCTGAGGAACGACAGAGCGACGTGCCGCACGGGGGCAAAGTCTGACGAGACGCCCGAGCCAGGGCACGAGGCAGACGAGGAGACTGCAGCAGGTCCGCAACTGCTGCGCTCTGGAAGACGGCCACTCCCTGCCTGAGGACCGCGAGCGCGGAACATACCAATGTCTGGGGGCCTCGCGGTCCGGACTCCTCGTCCGCGACCGCATAAATACACGGCGGCTTTGCACGAATGTCCCGCGAACCCATGAGATTGAGCATATTCGTGGGATCACGCCTCGGTGCCCACAAAGCAAGGGCGTAGATGTGTAAAACGGATATGCTCGTCGCCCGGGAGGGCCATCAACGTCGCTGCGGGGACACCCGCGGGAGACCCCTAACCCGCCCAGCACGAAGGACTCTGTCACCATACTAGCGACGCACTCTGCCTAGCACAGCCTTCGCGCGACAAGCAGGCCCCGGGGGCGCTGAAACTGTGCCTGGTCGATGCCGCCCGCGGCGTCTCCCGCGACAGCGCTGCCTGGCGTGCCGCCGCAGCCTGGCAAACAAGAGGGGGGAGAAAAGTAATAGATAGGACGAGGCAACTTGAGCTCTAACCAGCCACCGTCCGTAGATATGCCATCCGTCGCATCGCCAGTGCTCCGCCGGAATCTGGCCCCACCCGATACGAGTTATCCAAGCCCAGCCCCGAAGCCAATAACATGGGACCGGCTGTCCGCCCCAGGTGAAGAAAGCAACCTGGATCGCTCAAATCATATCGTCGGAGACCTGGAACGAGGAAAAACTTGGAGACCCGACGATGCGAACACATGGCAACATCGTGAAAATCAAAACTGGACCAATATGGGATCCATTTTTCTGCGGCGATCTTCGAGCCGGATCGATCTGAGGGTCCTAGGGACCCAAACCGGGCGAAATCGCCCGCTGTGAACAAAAATTGTTATTCGCCCGGATCCCATGGTCGTCTAGAGTCTGAAGGCCTTCCAAATGAGGTCCGTAGATGGGGTCGGGGAACCACGCTGCATCGCCCATTTATCGGCGACTCCGGCGATGCATCTGCGACGTCGGCGTGGAGGAAATCGGTCTCCACATCGAGCCGCATCGCCGATGCATCGGCGCTGCGGCGCGATCCTGCGACCCCATCTGCGTGGGACCCCATCTGGGAGGCCTAGGTCGCCAGAGATCTGGGACGAGAGAAACCCAAACACCCAATACCTTCATTTTTGTCGAGACACGGGCCCCCGTTGGGCGTTAATAAATAGGGTGTGATGAATGGGGTGGGAGAAACGTGCACCTTTCGCGCTCCTTTTGGGCCCCGGGGGGGTCCTTGAAGGCACAAAAGGTGCACCTTTCCTCCCCCCCCTATTCTCGCACCCCCATTACTCGACGCCCAGCCCCGACCTTTCGATCACTGCCCGGGTCGTTTCTTGGCGGTCCCGAGGCCCGGCACTGAGGGCCCCGAGAAGAGGCCGATTACGATGAAAAGCGTCAGTCTCGACTTTTTCGAGACGCCGAATGTCTCGGATATTGCAATCTTCGCCCAGCTATCGGGGTCGTCGGAGATCTGGAAGGAGAGGAAAGAGTCTTTCCTCTGAGAACAGGGGTAAGATGCCAAAGGAATTTAGGTCTCGTGAACAATACGCTCAGTGGTGGAGGGTTTGGGACGAGGCATCGATGAAACAATGCTCCCAAATATGGGAAGGGAGGAGGCCGGCCAGAGACGGACGACGACACGAGCCGCCCGCGCGCCCCCGGCGCGCTCCTTTTCGCACTTGATAAGCAAACAGCTTCAGTATACAAGTAATGTCAGTGATGTACAAGGCAGGCGGCAGCAGAGGCGCATAATGATGAGGCGGAGAGGAGCAGATTTACTCCCCCCGCGGCGGGTTACGTAGAGCAACTCCAGCCACAGCCCGCCCGGCCTGTACATATTTACAGCCACCGGAGCGAACCCCAAAAGCATTTCACCGCTCAGCGGTGGTTGCCGGGGGGCTAAAGGCCGAAGAAACCCGACGTATCCCACCAAAAATAAAATTGGGCCTCTCTCGTCGAAACGACTGGGTCTTTCGACTCACACCGAAACGACTGGGTCGTTCGACTTGCCTCCTCACTCACTTCTTGTGCCAGGGGGACTGCGAACGCGATGGTGGAGCCGGAGGCCTCGGAGTTGAAGATGAAGAGCTTCCCTTCTGCCAGGCTGGCAGATGAGGCACAAAAGACTTGCCTCCTTTTCCAGGGCCAGCATATGGAGCTGGCCGAATGTGCTTGGACTTGTCCTTGTTCTTGTTGTATCCCTTGCCCTGGTCTCTCTGGGACCAGTGGTTCTACTTATTCTGGGACGCGATGTGCCATGCACGACTTGCGGGTTCCCTGCGTGCCTGCCAATGCTCTTGGTCACGGTGCGCCCAGAAGCCCACCACCTCACCGTGCTCGGAGTTCTGCGGGTAGTGGTGCATGGGGCCCCAGGCGCCATCGCCACGGCCGGCAGCCATGGCTCCGCCGCGCCCGCGCGCGGTCATTATCCCGCGCGCCCCCGTCTGGGGAACGCCTCGAAAGTTCATCGCCCGCCGACGCGGTTTGACCGCTGGCGGAGCGTGGAGACTCTGTGGCATCATCGCTGGCCCGAACGTCTTGGACGCGGGGCGGTCTAGGCGGGACAGGTGGAGCCGGGCGGCCAGCAGGGCTCGGTCCTGCTGGCGCTGTAGAAGCCACACCCGGAACGGCTGGGCAGTCGGAGGGGTCGTCTGCGGCTCTCTCCTGTGTCTCGTGCTGTAACTTTGCATACCTCACATTGCCCGTCGCGGCAGTCGTCACGTAGGGGCCGTGCCGCCCATTGGCAGTGCGAAGGGGGCCTATGTCACAGTCCTGTTCTGGGTTAGACTCCAAGAATGGGCACGGCAAAACGACGGCGTCTTGCAATGCTCCGCCGTGGCGACGGAGCTTGACACGACGCTCAGTGCAAAGGTCGCGAGACCACTCTTCAACGAGGTCATCTGTGTGGACAGCCGAACGAATACTGCTGTCCAGCGCATATGCGTCGGCGCGGCGCTGTTCAACGTCGACTCCGTCGCATCGCTCTCGGCAATAGACGTCAGGCGTGGGACAGGCGATGTAATATCCTTCGGCGAAAACACAATTGATAATCTCGCGGACAATCACAAATACACGCATGACTCGAAGGTCCAGGTTGAGCTCTTCAACGGGAGTCCTCCAACTCTGCTCAAGGGCCTCTCTCACCGCTGCAAGAACCACATGTTCCAGCTCTCTCGTCAGGCACGACAAGCGCTGCCTGTCGGCCGCACCCGTTCCCGGGTGATGGCACATGTGCTCCATAACATACTGTGCGGCGACGCCGATGGCGTCCTGCGTCGTCGTTGCGATGCGCAGTGTGCCATCCGCACGTCGAGGGGTCACCTGTCCGTCGGGCGGATCTAAAGTGATCTCCCCTTTCAGCCACCGCTGGCTCTGGGACCCGCAGACAGCATTAAAATCAAGGGGAATTGGATCAGGCCTCTCGTATCCTGTCAGCTCGGCTTGGCCGGCGACAGGTGTCACAGCACTGAGAGGATGCTTGGCGCAAATCTTGTTGCGCCTGGATACTGACTTGGATGAGCGAGCAGGGCGAGCAGTGAGCTGCTGCGCCCAAGCAGCAGTCGGACGTCCACGAGGGCTGGGCACTGCGGCGTCCGCGCCAGCATCCTGTGCATCGGGCATCCAGGCCGCTACTCCACAAAGTGCATTGCACGCCGTCTGGAGAGTCGGCACAAAGGTTCCTGCCCTTTCCTGGGCGCTTACCCGTTCTGCCCAGCCTCCACGAGGGCATGTGCTCATTTCGTCTTCGTCTGGCCAGTCAAAAGCAGCCAGAGGAGGGCATGAAAATGGGCGCGCGTACTGATCGATGTCTGTGGCCAAAATCAGGGGCCACCGCTCTGCGATCGTTGGCTCGTTGGCCTATGCTCTCTGTGCCAGAAACTCCAGCCACTTTACGAACCTCCTCTTGAGAGGTTCAAGGTACTGGAAGGAAGGTCCGTGGCGCGCCGGCGGCTGGGCCGCGGCGCTGTCAGGGGCCCAGGCAGGAACACTACCAGGGCGGCTGTTGCCAAAGGTTTGACCTGCAGCAGCCATCGCGGTGTATGAACCGTTCGCCCACTTACGTTCTATCTTCAAGCTGGCATTGATGTTCGCCATGACATGCGCCGACGCTTTTCCCTGACGCTGCCGTCTCGCAGAAATGTACTGATCTTGGCGGTAGGGCAAAGTGTCAGAATCATTAACGGTCAGCTCGAAGCCATTATACCACTGTGTGTTTTCAATGGTTTGCGACTTATATGACTAGAGCAGATACTTGTGCGCAACCATGTGTTTGCACTTCGCTGCCTTAGTGCAAAAGGGACAACGGCCGAAGCCAGTACGGACCCAATGCAATTGAGGGCAGAGGAACCGACCGTCATCCGTCCAGGGGGCGGACCGGAGAAACTCAGCTGCCCTTTCATGCCAGTCCTTGAATTCTGGCCGCAGCGTCACCGTCTCGTCGGTATGAATCCAAGCTAGCATGGAATTGGTGTCGAAATCCACCTCGTATGAGGTCCACTCTTGACTGAAGACAAGGACCTAAGAGGTCCATGGTTCGTTCGGCCCTAACCAATCCATTACCGTTGCAAGCTGGACAACTTTGTCGATGTCGGAAAATCTTGGCACCTGACGGGACACCAGGGTCCCGTCGCGGCAAACTCGGTACGAGAAACGGGTAAGAACACGGCCATTAAAGACTAGAACGAGCGGCCAGGAATCTCTGTGCGTTGGGAGTTGGTCCCACAGACGGACTGTGTCCGCTGTGGGCCACGACCCAATCGCAGCATGTTGGCCCGCCCCGGGGGCTTGGCCCATTTGGCGAAACTCCTGCGGGGGAGCGCACTCGCCATCCCTACGCTGGCTTAGCCAGGAAGGAAAGTGTTCTTGAGGTCGCATGGCCGGGTTCCGCTTCGTCGGGAGAAGTCGCAACATGCCATAGTCCGACTCGAAACAAAGTCCCGACTTGCTCTTGGGGTATTGGGTGCCCCCGAGCACTGATGCCTTTAATGCGTCCATGTCCGTAATGTGGAGAAGGGGGCCATGGCACCTGGCTGGGCCAGGGTCATAAGGCGCGTGCATTCTCTCAATGGAAGCAACGAACGTGGAAAGGCCCTGACACGCTCTATAGAATATGGGAATGGGGCAATGGTGCCGACCGCCCGTATTCTCGGGCCAGCTCCTAAAGTCCCTCCAGTGTTGGTAGAGCGTTGTGTCGCTAAGGCAAACAATGGCGTGGGGATGGATGCCCACGACTTCCACGGTCCCTGGCTGCAACGCGGCTAGACCGTGTGCAGCAAGGGCCACTGTTTGGAACTTGCATCCATCTTCTTGCATTATATCGATTCGGTCTCCGAAATAAACCCAACCCCCCGAGGACCTCGCGTAATCGGGACAATGTCTCGTGAGGTACGCAGCAAGCTTTCCGATGCGCCTCGCAAACCCATCCGTCCGAGAGCTGTGGCGCTG